ACAACAAGATCGAAGTCTTCACTTCAGTGTAATTGATGTGATTCGTTTGTGCTACCGCAGCATCTATAACAACTTGTGGGATCCCCGTTATGTTCGGCTTTTTCTTTCGCGACGTCGCGATACGGACAAGTTTCACTATTATATAATAAGCAGAATCTAACACTATAGACCCAAAGAAAGTTAAGATGTAACTAATGGCTTGAACCCCGGGGTGACTCTTCCCAAGGTCAAAGACTGTTAATCCACTACCTGTTATAGCAGAGACACAAGTAAAGAGGGCATCTATATAACTGACTTTACTGTCAAATAAGACACAGAAGAGTGCAAATAAGAAGCACACTGCTGTGAAGATCGAGAAGTGGATTATATAGTAATTCACAAAGTTGGGATAGATTGACAAGAGGAGTTTCCGAAAGATTGTACTTATACCATACGCATCTTTGGAATCATCACTCGGCTGATCTTCGTTTTTGTCATAATACTTGTCACTACAATCTGACATCTCTTTCTCTCGCCGACTCTCTTTTTGACGCTCTTTTTCAACTTTGACGGAATCTACAGGACGGATTCGTTTTTGCACAGTTGGTTCGGGGGCTGAACTCTCAGAATCTTCGTTTTGGGTTTGAGATTGAGAATCTGAACAAGTGACATATTCTTGAGAATCATCGTCAGTGTCTTTTTTGGATTTTTGACCATTCTTGGAATGTGTGGAACGAACTTGAGATGATGTTTGAGATTCAAGTTGGGAAGGGCGCTGACTGCTTGTGGTGGTTGGGGAGATCGTCTCATTTTGTGTGTGCGTCTTGTGAAGAGGAGATTCTTCGTTTTGTTGAGAACTGCTCTTTTCGCTCACACTCAAATTAAAAAGTGGGGGAACATGATCGTCAGCCATTAACTATGTCTTTGGTGTTTGTTTTTTATGCAAAAAAACTTTTTGGGAGTTTGGAGTCGAATTTAACACGGCATTGCTGTGTTTTATTTACCATTTTATGTAATTGTTACTTTAAGTATTAACCAACATATTAAAATGTCCAATCAAAGTGTTTTGATGATTATTGGTTGTGTTTTTGTCTTTACAATTTTTATTCACAAAAACAAGTGTTAATTATATAGATTTTGTATAGTTTTATTTATACTATTCTTTTTTCTTGAATGTATTTTAATATAACATTTTTTACTTCCAATAAAACAAGTCAATTAAGACTTAAGTAATAGGAAAAAAATTTAAAATTTCAATATAATGAATGGAAAAAAACAATAGGAAATAAAAAGTCGAAAATTGTTCAAGTAACTCATTATTTGTTTTTATTAACCATTTTTAAGTTATTTTGATGTCAAAAATTACCAAAAAAAATATTAAAAGCCATAACAATAAAAATATTTTTATGGTAAAAATATTGAAATGGCTTTTTATTGCGAAATTTTGGAAATTTTAATATTATTTTTGTCTACCTTTATTGGTGATTAATAAAAAAAATATTTGTTATTAGTTTTGTTATTAATTATTCGAAATATCCCGTTCTTTTTCTTTTAAAATTTAAATTGATAAATATTTTTTTATTATGTGAAACAATTACTATCTTTATAAAAAAATTATTATTGATAAAATTAAAATAATTAATTGTTTTATAATTATTAATTACCAAATGTTTGATTTTGCCAATTAAAAATGAATAGTTATTAGTTCAAAATGCACATTTTTTCAACCTTAAATACAAATAATATGTATTATAAAATATAATTTCCAAAATAATTTAATATAATACATTTTTAAAACAAAAAAATTTTTAAAAAATTTTAATTGACTTTCATTTTACAACTAATAATAATTTTTATTATAAATAATGAATAGCAAAAAAAAAAAATATAAAATTGTTTTTAACAATAGAAAAACATTTTGTTTAACATTTTTTAAATATGAACAAAAACAAAACTCAAAACAAAGAAATAAAATGTTGTTTTCTTTACTTATTCTTATTTGTGTAAAAGCGGGTCATCTTATGTCATCAGTGACTTACGGATACCTTACAGATATTGTAGAAAATCAGTGCTATCAAATCCCCGGGACTTTACAACCCTTCCGGGCGGTGCTTGACAAGGGTAATGTCGTTCTTAATTTATATAAAGAAAAGAACTGTACACATTACATAGCAAAAATTTTAGCCGTCAATTCAGGTCTCCCAGACTTCAATAGTTTTTTCTATACCGAACGACTTCCAAAGATCTCAGGAGCAAATTATAAGTTGAGTGCAGACCCAGAATACGGGGTTAACTGTTATTTCCTCAGCGACTGTGTTCCAAATTACAGAGACTCTGTGAGATTCAATGTTACTATTGAGGGAGATGTTGTAAAGCAGAATGTGTATACGTGGGACGATGAAGAATGTAAATCATCTCCAATCTCAACCAACACATACAACTGTTATGAAGTGACAGGAGGTCGTTATATGGACTGCTCAAGATACTTCACATACGACACGCCTCAGCATTAATCGTCTTTCTTCGATAAATATTCTTTTTTTCTATCCCCAAATTTTTCCTCGTTCAACCATTTTCAATCTCGTCAATATTTGATGAACATTGACAAAAACAACTCTTATTATAGTATATGTAAACCATAACTTACTATATAGAATTTACATTTGATCTTTTAAGTTGTTACAAGTTTCCGAGTGGACTTAATCCTTCGTCAATTTCTCCATACCCGGACGAGGGGTAAGGTGTGCTCTTTCCGTCCTTCTCGCCCTGGTTTTTGTTTTTCTTGATTTTTGTGATGTTTCGATAAGAAGGATCGCAAAAGAGAGTGAATGAGAGACAATTCAATCCCGAGATTTTGAGGACTGCGCCGGTATTTAAGAATTTGCCTTGGTAGAATGAAGCAGAGAAGACAGAGACGCATGGCATCTTCACTGTGAATCCGTCGACAAAGCAATGGCCTCGGACTAACATTTCGAAGCCATTCTTTTCCAAAAAGCCCATCAAAGCCTTCTTTCCAAATACAACGGAGATGCCGCGCTTTGTGTTTAATTCGAAGCCATTGACTTTTGGAGAGTAATCGCTCCACACCAAATCACAAAGAAGTCCACTCCACGGGATATCTGTCGGTCTGCTAATCCGTTGTAATTGACTGAACTCTTTGAGGTACGGCGACAACCCTCCGTGGACGCAGAAGATTTTGTTGTTGACAGACGCGGTGAACGGAAAGACGTTGAATGTCGAAACAAACGCATTCCACACTAGTAAGTCGCCGTATTTCAACAAACACTCGTTTTGAAACCCATAATAGCGATTGATCTGTGCACACTCGTGGTCGCCACGCAAGAGAAATATGTTGTCCGGGTGTTGGATTTTTAAGGCGTAAAGAAGTACTAACACTTCGACTCCATATTTCCCTCGATCAACGTAATCACCAAGAAATAAGTACGTCGTTGCGGGGGGTAAACCCTCTTCAATGAAGATCCGGAGGAGGTCGTTGAGTTGTCCATGGATATCACCAACTACGACTATTGGGCCATGGAGGAATAAATGTGTTGTCGTACTTAAAAGGAGGGTTCGAATGTGTTGGCATAAGAAGCTGTCAATTAAGCGTTTAATGAAATTTTTAATAAGTGTTCGTAGAAATATAATTTGTGCGTTGTTGTATTTGACCGACATTTGATGTAACGAGTTAAATTTCTATATGAAAAACAATCTGAATAATAATAAAAGCGCTAATTTATTTTTTATTAGTCTTGTGTTAAGACAATTGTTGAATGTTATAATTATAATGTTATAATAACAAACAAAATAGTAGAAGACGGAATTATTGAAGGCGACGTATAACGACTGTTAAATATGTCAACAATAAGTTTGTCAAGGTCTGGTACAAACGAGGTGATTGGTACCATTAGTTTTCCTCGTTGTGCCATGTATAGTATTTTAAACAAGATCAAGTTGTGTTAAAGGCTTCAAAATTTTTTAAGCTTTCCTTTGGTTCATTTAAAATACTGTTGCCGATTGTGATATTAAATCCCGTGTGTTGAGGAATTTTAATTCTATTTATTATATAAATATACAATTAAAATACTTCTTCATTGATTGTATTCTGTTTGGTTTCAACTTTTTCAATCTTCTCTCGTCTTCAATCACTCATCATGAATCGATTTCAAGAACCATCTTAATCCTCTGAGTTTTATTAGAATCGAAATATTTGTTCAAATAAAATTGCATTTTAATAATAATTTGTGCTCTTATAAAACATGTTTTGGTTATTTTGAATAGGTAATTTTTGTACTATTAATTATAATATTATTACTATTTGACAGTTAATCACAAAAATAATAATGATTTGGTTATGGTAAAATTATAGTTTATATTTGAATTTTTTTTTAATTCATAACTTTCTCCAAAAAAGTTGGCATCTTTTTTATTCCAAAATGTTTTCTGGACGTTAATATTATTAAAAACATTCAATTTTTTTTCAACATTTTTCTTTCGGTTATTTATTGTTTTTAATTTAGTATTTTTAACTATATTAAAATAATTATAATTTAAAAATTATAAGTTAAACTATTTTAACTATAGTTAAATATTTTTAAGAGTTTGATATTTTAATAAATTCCACATATTTTGACTAAACTAAAAACGATCATTCAAACCAAAACGAAAGATAATTACTCCATCAAAAAAATGAGACAAGAGATTACAAAACGCGGAAAGAAAGAGTATTCAAGGGTATTTATTGAGAAGAAAGCAAACAGTAAATCACCTTAGAATAATGCAGTTCAGTGACAACACCGTTTTCCATCAATATATTTCACAGTCCGCCGACCCATCCGACATTAAGTACCCATACGAACTGCTTCTTGCAATCCAAATGAACTTTGGCAAGAAAGTCCCACTTCAGTACATTGAGGACACGTTGCGCAAAAATGACAACGATCTCTTTTTGACTCTCAAAGATCTTAACGAGACATTAAGCACCGCACAGATCTTTCCAAACCAACAGACTGCTCGTGAAGAGTAATGTTTTCATTTCAAAATGAATATTCTATTTTTTGGTTTTAACTAATATTTTTACTATAAATATTTATTCTTTTAGTTATTTACTTAATTATAAAATTATAATTCGACTTAATATATTGTCTAGTTTTCAATCCATTTTCCAAATATCATTTCTAATAAAACTCTAATAAATAGCTAATTACCAATATAGTTTACTTTTCAAAAGACGGAAAGAATTATTTTTTGATAAGAATTTTTTTGAGTAGAAATACTAATTTAATTATAATTTGTTACTAATAAAAAAAGTATAATGAAAAAAGGAACTTTTCTACCAATATAATAAATAAATGAAAAAAATTTTAATGTCAAAAGCCCGAAACAACACATAAAAAACACACTGAGTAATTTCTCTTCAATTTTCTTCTAAAAAATCCAAACGACTTCTTTGTCACCAATTTTCAGATCTTCTGTATAAATACGAGATTATCACAATACACTAGATCCAAAGATGTCGAGCGAGCAACCCACACGTTGTTGGTGGAAAGAAGGAGTAGTCTACCAGATCTATTGTCGCAGTTTTAAGGACACCACAGGGAATGGATTTGGTGATTTAGATGGTATAATTTCGAAGATCCCGTATCTCCAAGATCTTGGGGTGACGATAGTGTGGCTGAATCCTATCTATGCAAGTCCCGATGCAGACAATGGATATGACATTTCCGATTATTATAGTATTTCGAGTAAGTTTGGTGATATGAAGAAGTTTGATGAGTTATTAAGTCGAATGCATTCTGCTGGTATTAAAGTAGTGATGGATTTAGTAGTGAATCATACGAGTAGTGAACATCCCTGGTTTAAAGCGAGTGTAACAGGGGAAGGGGATAAGAAGGATTATTACATATGGTCGAAAGAGACAAATGATTGGCGGACCTTCTTTAGTCAAAGTGCTTGGGAATACAATGCGACGCGACAGGAGTATTACCTTCATCTTTTTGCAAAAGGGCAGCCTGATTTAAATTGGGAGAACTCATCTGTCCGGAGTGATGTGTATAAGATGATGAATTGGTGGTTTGAGAAAGGGATTGATGGCTTCCGAATGGATGTCATTAACATGATCTCTAAAGTCATTCAATTTCCAACGGGTGGTGTTTTTTTGAATGGGCCGAAGATCCACGACTACCTTCAAGAGATGAATACCAAAGTCTTAAGTAAATATGATTGTTTTACTGTTGGAGAGATGCCTGGAGTAGACAGTCAGTTAGCTTCGTTATATACATCTCCGGAACGAAAAGAGTTACAGATGGTTTTTCAATTTGAACACGTGTCGATTGGATATCAACATGGAGACAAATGGGCGAAAGGGGAATGGAAGTTAACGGAGTTAAAGAAGTGTTTAATGAAGTGGCAAAGTGAGTTACATGGACGTGGATGGAATTCGTTGTATTTAAATAATCATGACCAACCAAGACAAGTCAGTCGATGGGGAGATGATCAGAAGTATCGAGTAGAAAGTGCTAAAATGTTGGCTACGATGCTTCACACCTTAGAGGGAACACCTTATATCTATCAAGGCGAAGAGATAGGAATGACTAATTTTAAAGTCGAGAGAATAGAAGACATCGATGACTGTGAAACACTTGGAAGGTGGGAAGAGATCCAAACTACTCATCAATTAACTTTGGAACAATTCTTAGAAAGAGCGTCGGAAGTCGGGAGAGATAATGCGAGAACTCCTATGCAATGGGATGAGACGGAAAACGCAGGATTTACTCATGGAAAGCCTTGGCTTCGAGTCAATCCAAATTACAAAGAAATTAATGTCAAAAAGGCTTTAGAAGACAAAGACTCGATTTTCTATTACTATCAAAAACTATTGAAATTAAGAAAAGAAAATAGTATAATGGTCTATGGAGTAACTCATTCAATTCTCGACGAAAACGAATCGATTTTCGCTTACACTCGGTCCTTCGAAGAAAAAACTTGGCTTATCATCTTAAATTTCTTCGGTCAAGAAACTCTCTTCGAAGCTCCAGAAAACCTCAATACTAAAAATCATAAACTCATCATTAGCAATTATCAAGTCGACAACGAAGAAGATATCCAGAAGTTTATTTTGAAACCTTATGAAGCAAGAGTCTACTCTTTATAAGCTAATGCTTCCTTTAACCATTTTTTTATGGTTAAAAATACTATTGGTATTATCAATAATAATATTATAAAGAAACTATTAATAAATACTATTAATAAACTATTAATAAACTATTAATAAACTATTAATAAATACTATTAATAAATACTATTAATAAACTATTAATAAACTACTTCAATTACACACCAACTTGTGGAACAACACTGAACTCTGCAAATGCAACCTTCTTACTTGTCAATACCAAACACTTCAAGTCAGTGTCCCAGGAACACACTAGTGCGCAGTCATTGAAGATATGAACAACGTTGAGTGATCCGTATAATAACATTTGTGAGAGGAGCCATCCCGGATAAAAAATGTTATTGATAGTCAAGTCGGCGATCTCCATGGTATGGATCAAATCATTTTCATTGAGCACAGAAGTGTTATTTAAAATGTTATTCAAGCTTTCTGAAGTGATTGCAAAGCCAGTCAACGTCTCCAAATATCTTAAAAGTAAAGTTAAAGGGCAAGATTTGAGTGGAGAGTTAATGACGTCGTCCAAAGATTGTAAAACAGAATTATATCGCTCAACGACTTGACTTTTGTATTGATTTAAAGATTCTTCAAGAGCGTTTTGTTGAGTAGATTCTGGGAACGAATAGTTTTGTGTCAAGGGGATGAATAGTTTTTGGAACTCATAACAATCTTCTTGTTTCGGCGTTAAAATTTTGGGAATAAAAAAAAAGGTATTTCTCTCAAGAGGAAGTGTTATAGAAAATGTTATTCCAACCTCAAGTGGAATCCGGTTTTGCTCGGGGAGTTCTTTTCGTGAAAGAAATGAGAAGTATGAGGTGTCAATAGATGATGGAAAAATAGTTTGGAGTTCTCTCGAGATGTCTTTGACAGGAAAATAGATCACATAGTCAACATCATTAAATAAATCAGTACAAGTCGCATCAAATCTCGTTTGTGATGAAACAATGCCAACATTAATACTTTTCTTTTGTGGCGGGTCTTGCTTTTGTGTGGATGGCGTTGTTGACTTGAATAAATTTTTCAAAAACGACATGGTTATTAAGTTTTTTTCACAGTGTTTTTAAACTCTTAAAATCAGTATTAATACAATAAATTTTAATTACTTAAATAAAGTAAAATTTTTAACTTCATTGTTCTATCAGTTAGTATTTGAAAGAGTTATAAAATAATTCATTGAATGAAGTGAAAAATTCAAAGTATTTTTATAATAAAAAATCAATCAAAAAATCAATTTTACTCAATCTTGACGATTTTACATTTATCATCAGAGAGTTCGCCCTCAAAAATGGGTGGGTTGTGGTGCAAATTCATCCCAACCACCTTAAATCTGACCAACACACCCTGTGCAACTTTTTTAATAAGTCTTTCTCGTATTTTCGAGTTAGATATAAACACGTTGAAAATGCCAAACACCAAAAGAGCAACGTGGTCGAAACTTTTCTGCGAAATAGACCCAACTTTATGTCAGAACACACAAAAAAACGCTTGTAACATTATATTATTAATTTTGTTAATAAACAATAGCACAAATAACAAACTGAGGTATGTGTTGAGAGTTGGGACAAACAAGACACAGTTGAGAACCAAAGGGATAGTGATAACACCTTCGTCGAACGAGATTTGGGACTTTGTGGGTGTTTCAAAACTATCGTAAGAGAGTAAAATTCCTTGAACACCACCATTGATATAAGAAGAAAGAAGATACGTATCCAAAGTGCTTTCGATTGTCCCGTTGATGTCGTTGAGGTGTTGTGGATAAAAAGAAATGAGGAAGGGAAGTTTGCACTCAACAAAAGGGGAAACCTCGGATTCTGGAGAGGCGCATAGGGCGTCCAAAAAGATTTTGTACTTTGACACAATGGACACGTTGCAATTTTCTCGTGTTTTCAAGCGTGTTGCGAATTTCTCGACTATTTCAGTTGTTGTTTCGTGACTTATGTGCTTCGCAGACATCCTTTTTTGCCTTTTTTCAGTTGTTTTTCGATATTCAAAAATCGAAATAAAAAATAGAAAAGGGTTTTCTATTTTAATGTAAAATGTTATTCAGTTTGTTATTTATTGAATTACAAAATATAATTGAGAGAAACTTGAAAAGTTCATGTCTGAAAAAGACTCAAACACAAACGATGACATCGCGAATGGCCCATACATAAAAAGCGACCCCCAACATCTGTCAACAAAATGGGAGGACAGAATAAACTTCTTATTTGAACATTATGCTGTGAAGGGCGTGGCAATGCTAACATTTTTCTTTTTCCTCAAAACAGCAATAAACGTTCTGATATACCACCTTTTTGAGCCTTTGAGAGGCTTGTTACTAATTTCCGTCTCACTGTTCGTATTTGTCCTTTCGCAGTACTCTTTTTATAAGTCGGTAACAACACCACCTGGCGACGGGTCGGACCCAAATCCTTCGTGTAGTGAAGACGAAAAGGAAAAAGCCAAAGAGCGAAGCATTTATGCTGTCGAAAACAACATGAAATGTGTTGATATGGGATATCCAGTTCGTTATTGTTATCATTGCGAGAAGTTCCGCAAAAGTCGAGCATATCACTGTTCCATCTGCCATCAATGTGTTGACGAAAAAGACCACCACTGTGTTTGGCTGGCGTGTTGTGTTGGAAAGAAAAACTTGAAATTCTTCGTTTTGTTTCTTTTCTACACTGCCCTTGCTTTGTTATGTAACACAGCTCTACTTGCGTGGTCCCTGTATTACGACATCGCTATTTACTTTTTCTTCTTGAGCCACAACCAAATCAACATATTCTTCTTCCTAAGCTTTGGCATTGACCTGACTTTACTCGTGTTTTCCCTCTGTTTTTTGCTGGCCTTAAGTTTGTTCGTTCTGCAATTGCAATCCAACATCTCATTTTTACTCATCTCATAATGCGCTAAAGTTTGATTCAATAAAACTATAATATATAATACAGTAAAAATAACAACTCAGGTGCTCTGCTGTATGGAACGATGGGACAGATAAGTGCAAACGAGACAGGGATGGAGGGTGTTGAAAAAGAGCGGTACGAACAGCTCGAAGCAAACAAGACGAAACTTCCTGAATTTACACCAAAAGGGTGGTTGCGTGTCAAAGAGGTTTTAGGGAGTGGGGTAGAGATGTTTTGGCCAATCGTTCGGGATCCAACGAAGAAGAGTGACTAATTGAAGTTTTTAAAAATCATTGTGGCGCTGTATCACAAAAAGAATTAAAATGCAGGTAAATAAATAGTACAATTTTTTTCGAAGAGCGCAAAGACAGGTGTGAACTTGGAAAGTGAGAGAAGTTCAGGAAAAAAAGATTTGTGTGATGAACAAGAAAAACTCATATAACGAGATGGAAGAGGAAGAGCAGCAAATTGTATATGTGAAAAACCTTGAAACAAAGGAAACCCTTTGTTTTACTATGAGTCTTAACACGCTAGTCACTGCGTTTAAGCCACAAGTTGCGTTGAGGTTTGGTCTTCCATTTGATCGACCGTTTTATTTAGTCCACAGAAATACATTTCTTGAGAGCAACTTGTCCCTTCACAAAAATGACGTTCGACCGAATGAATTGCTTTATATGTATTTCCCGGTTGTTCAACGAAGATCCGACGCATTTAATTTGTTCACGGAAACGTTACACAATACTCTAAGAATACCAAATGAAACGGAAATAGTGTTATATATGACTAACCCTTCAACAGGAGAAACAATTCGAATTCGTTCAACACCTCAAGTCGTACAACAAACCAATCAAACTAATCCAAACGACTCCCAAAATCTAACACAACAAAACACTCAACTGAATGGTCAAAACTCGATTCAACATGATCAACAACAAAATGTTCCAGATATAGAAACGATCCCTAATTTCTCTCCATTCTCGTTCTTCGAAGGATCACTCCCTCTAACTCAACAAACACAACAAATTGGCTCAAATGGATCAACTCAAAACATGAATGAAAACATTGAAGCGATCTCTCAGAATTTAAATACTCAAAACAATCAAAATACAAACAACACACTCCTTCAACAACAACTTAATAGGCAACATGAACAAAGAAATCAACTAATACCGCCAACACAAAATAATAATACCACACGAAGAACTCAACGGCTCCAAAACGGTGTAATGAGAATGCCACTCGGGTTGTTACCACAACGCCAACCAATTACGCAACCACAACGGCAACAACAGGTTATACAACAACACGAAGGATCGTCAACGAGTTCAATTTATACACCAACACAAAATGTTCCACCAAATCAAACTAATCAATTCCCAACAGATTTGTATCTGGAAGAGATCTTCATGAATATCCAACAACTACTTACAAACCAACAACATATCTTCGATACTCAGGAAAGCACACCAACACAACTACCTTTCAATTCTTCGATGAGAACTCAACAACCACGCGTGAGAGATCAACGGGACAACACACAAACATCATCACAACAACTCCCACAACAAGCAGAACAACAACAACCCATCACACAACTTCCTCAACAACTCCCACAACAAAATCCATTACAAAACTGGCTTCGTCCAGGGCAAACAGTCTCTGTACGCATCTTCGAGATGCCAACTGAATTTTTACAACTTCCGCCAGCGCCCCGAAATGTTGTCTCAAATGTTGTCCAACACGTCAACAGTGAGAGACAGGAAGTACACGCGGAACCGCATCAACCTGTGGATGTGGTGTCTCCTGATGTTCGAGAGTGTCGAGAGTTGTTATATGAGATGCTACAGATCTTAGTTGATGATGAAAAACGGGAAGAAGTGATCAAAAGGATAATCCGCTGGATGCAAGACGAGTTTCGAACGCCCGAAGAGATAGTTGGGAATATGATCAATTCGATAGCAAAGTACTTGAAAGAAGTCTTAGAAGACTCGAAGTTTGACAAGAAGGTTGATTTGATGCGGGATGTGTTGAACACGATCTACAACAATTTGTACGACTACTGTACCGAGCACTTTGGGGACGTCGACGCCTTTGCCAATTTCTTCCGCAAGACGATGTACGACATCATTGAGTTAAACAAGACGCATAACATCGAAGAAGTCTTTGATTTGATTCATCGATGCATCAGGCGGATCATAACGGAGGGGCAACCGGCCAACAAGATTGGGGAGGAGAATCCCTCGTCGATTGAACTTGAAGAGCGCTTTTTATTAGGGGTGAGAAGGTGCCATGATACTTATCAGTTGTGATGTGTATAATTGATAATTGTTTAAGGGGTTAAATGTGAAGAGGAAGTACCGACAAAGACACAATGGATTCAATTGAAACTACACGAAATAGGGTTTCACTCGTTCATAGAATTGATCGAAAATCGGGTCGTACTTCTTGAATAAGTCGTTATCTTTTTTATTCTTAAGTGGACAGTCGATGGTTGCGTGGGAAAGTTCGCCACAAATTGCACACTTCACGCCGGAGTCATACGCTTCTTCGACTTCATAGACTTTGTCTTCTCGAAAAGTTCCGTTGTACTTTGCTAAAGCGCGGAGTTGTGTTTGTTTGATCAAGTTAATTGCGTTGGAAGAGCCATAGATCAAATTCATAATCTTGTCGTACGCCATGTCTAAGGACTCTTGTGTGTCGGCAGTGATTAAGACATGGGACTCTTCATTCTCATCGTCACCAGGTAAATTGGACAACTTCCCCATCTTCTTCGGATCTTTTCCGCGGATACAAATACGAGCACCCGTTTGCTTCTCAAGCTCTTTCTGATTATTCCCACGCGGCCCTATGATAAGACCAATAAAGTTGGTGTCGGGTTTGTCTTTGGGGAAAAAGACCTTTCGGTGGCGTTTGCCACTGGGTTTGGCAAGTTCGGCGGGGATCCGAAACTCGGGGTAGATCTCAATTGCTCGATCCACGACGTACAACCGTTCCGTCTTTAATTTCTCGTCACGCCGCATCTCACGGGTTATCACCTGTTGGTTCTGATCGTATTGTTTTGGTGGAGACGGTGAGCGATCCCGACCTGTATCGAGTCCAAGACGATGTGCTCCAATGGCGTATTGTAATTCCTCATATCGAATTCTGACCGCCAACGCGTCCCAATACTTCTCGTCTAAATCGGGAGGGATGTGGGAGGGAATGTTTGGAAGAATGTCTTGAAGTTTTTTATCCCATCGAGAGACACGTTTTGTATGAATAGGTGGTCCTCCCGGGTGTGTGAATCGGTCTTTGTAAGTTGTAGTGTTGTCTTCTACGAGTTCCATTAAACTTCTTTTTTTAGTTTCTTTTTAAAATAAGAATAGAATAATTTATAGTAAATTGAATTACTACAAATTTATTATCATTATTGGAGTAATTGTTGGTACTATAAAATTATAATAAAAAGTATTAAATATATAAAAAAAGGGAAAGAATAAACTATTAATATTTTAATTAAAAAAACAACTAAAGAATTAGTGGTATACACTCTCAAGCTGATTTACAAAGTCATCCATCCTCACAACTCCCTTCTCGTCTATTCCCATATACGAAAAGATATTCGTGACTTCACTGTCAGTCAATTTGTCCCCCATCGTCGTGAGTATTCGACGCAACTCACTTGCACTGAAAAGTCCTTTAGCTTTTTGGTCGATGATCGTTACTGCACTTTTGACCTCCTCTATCTTAAAAGAGTCTTCTTTCAGCTTTTTAAGGCAGACTTGGAACATCTCATAATTGATTCCTCGGAGTTTAGAAATCGTGTTGTACTGCTCCGTTATAACACTCGTCTCATTTACAACTCCTAACACTCTCACTAACATAGTAAACTCGTTCAATGTCAAATACCCGTCACCGTCGCAATCAAATAAGTCAAACGATTTTTGAAGACTTGGCTCTTCCATTGAATTTGTTTGTGTCTTTCTAAAATTTTCAAGTTGTTGTTTGAATAACAATTTAATAACAAATTTAATTAAAATCGACTTTTTTGTTTGAAAAGTTATTATTATTTTTTTAATAAATAGAACTAGATTATACTATATATGATAGATTAGAATATATACTAAAATAATAATAAAAATATAAATTAAATAACAAATCACGAGGAAATTGAATTCATTTTGTTCTTTTAAACAGTTTGGCAAAAAGATATTCAGAAACTATAAATAAATTATAAATAAACTAAAAATAAACTATATATATTTACTGAGTTATTCCACCCTCAAAAAATACCGACAGAAGTTGTTCCATTAATGGTTTAAGTTATCCCAAATTGAAATGAAATTCCCTCGAGAGGAACATAGAAAAAAGAACTCAAAATAGTAAAATCAAATGGCAGATTCTCAAAACCCAAATCCGTTCGATGACGGCTACACAACACCCGAACCACAAGACAAGTCCTTGCCGTGTAGTATTACAATTCTTGCAATACTTTCAACGGCCTTAGGGTTTGTTGGCCCAATCATTATATTCTTTTTGGAGAAGAAGAATCAATACATAAGACTTGTGGCTTGCCACAGTGCCTTATGGCATTTCATTTTAGATCTCTTACTCATTATCATCGCACTCTTCCTCTTCTTCGATCACTGGTTCACCTACACACTTTTCGCCATTTACTTGCTCCTTTTCATTCTTTTCTCTATCTTCCTCATCGTTATGGCCTATTTCAGAGTCGAGTCCGGTGAAGCTTTCCTTATCCCGGGAATATCAATCATCGTTAAATATCTCGAAAACAATTTCTAATTCATTCGACAATGTGATTAGTTTTGAAAATGTTAAAAAGTATTTCTTTCTAATCGCACACTCATCATATATTATTATAATTGTTTTTTA